TCTGCTTTGTCCGTCTAGACTTGCGACGTCCGTTCAGGAACGAGCATCTTTCATCAAAAAAATATTTTGTGTCCAACAAGCCGAATCCGTCATGGTAATATTCAACCAAACAAAACAAAAGAAAAAGATAGTCAAAATTGACCCAAATGGAACAAAAAGGATGATTTTTCTGAAAAAAAATATCCAAACAAGAATTCAGAAATATTCGCTTTGACTTATTCGCTTAAATAGCATGAATAGGGTAAGGAAGCGGGCGTCATCAAAAAAATAACCCGAACTGGATACGGCCGGATTAATAAATAAAAAATGTCTGCCACTACTCAATGATGGTAGTTTGATAATAGTTTTTCACTCTCGACTTTGAAAAGCCAAAAGTTGGGCACCAAAAAATATTTGGTTGGTCGTCCAGGCGACCTATCCTCATTGTGACTGCCCTTTTTTTTCTTCTGATTCGCCTGATTTGATTCGGCCTCCCTTCCTTCCACCAAAAATGTTGGCAAAAGATGATACACGTTCCTGGTCTGACATGATGATGATGATCATCACATGACATGCTATGTGTGTGTGTGTGTATGACTTGGCTCTCACTGTCTACCGCCTATATCTTTTATCTATTTTCTCCCTTGTTCTGGCGCTTACAATGATGGCTGCTTGCTGGCTGCTGGCTGTTGCTGCTGCATTGAAGGGAAAAACATTGGCGGCTGTCTAGACGAATGTTGTTGATGTAGTTTCTGCTTCTAAATTTTTTTCCTCTATCTTTACTTCTTTCGAATACGAGTATGCTCGAAAAAAAACATGCCGACCTGACTTGATTTTTTTTTCGAGTAGAATCTTGTATTGACGTCTACACCGGGTGAATCAAATCTTGATAACAAGTTCCCCCTTGCCAAAATTACGCCCATTATTCCCCCCATTAGACATCCATTTGTTTTTTTTTCATGCGCATGTGTATAACCCAAGCTGTAATATCCATAATCATAGTTCCGGATGATGATGATGATAAAATCGGCAAGGTAAACTTTCATTATATAGCCCGCACCACCACCACCACCGCAATCACATGATGGAATCGATAAAAAACCAAAAGAAAAAAAATTCCAAACTTATCGATCAAAATTTCCTTTGATTTTTGTTTGTATCAAAAAAAAAAATGTAAAAAAAAATCCAATTTGTGTACGCAAAATCCCATTCATCACAAGATCATCATTCTATTCTTGGCTTCCTAAAATCACCTAAATTTTTTTTTTTGACTGAATGTTAAATTAGATCAAATTAGGAGCATATGTGTGTGTGTGCGTGTGGGCAAAACGCCAGAAAATCAAAACAGCCAGAAATGCAAAAAAAAGCCAGAAAAAATCGTAGAAATTTAAAAGTTCCAGAAATTCAGATGCTTTTTTTTTTGCTGGTTGATTTAAAGCCAAAACAACAAAACGAAAAGGATTCTGTAATTGATTTTGTTTGTCGACTGAGGAAAAAAAACCAGAAAAAACCTGACTTCCAGGCAGCCATCCATCCAGCTAGTTTGGTCAACAAGTTTATTGTCGAGGTCAACAAACTTGTTCGGAGGTCAAATGGATGGCTTGGCGTTTTTTTGTTGCAAGAAAGCGATAGAATCGACAAATAAGCAATGTCTTTTTTTTCCTCTCAATAGTTACATCATTAGGTCAAAGGTCAGACTATATTACCAAGAAGAACAAGAAGACAATTCAACCATGATGATGATGATCGTGTCACGACAATCCAAAAAAAAAAGAAGCTTTGATTTAATGTTTCCCACTACAATAGCTAATGATGATGATGATGGATTCTTTTCAATTCAAATTCAATTCAATTCGGAATACATTCCGAAACAAACAAACAAAAAAAAAACACCTGATGACGATGTTGATGATGATGATGATGATGATGAATGCAGTAAACCAGAACACCAGATAGAAATGAATTGAAACGATAATGATAATCGTAGTAAAAAAAAGGTTTTTTTTCCTATAGTACCTGTATTCATTCATTCATTTCATTGTTTGATATATGGTGATTTGAACTGATGACATTTTAAAAAATGACCTAACCTAACCTAACTGAACAAACCATCATCATCAACCCAGTAGTCAAATAAAATGACGACAAATATTACCTGTATATTGTCTAGGAGATTCTAGGTCAGGTGAATCGATTTTCTTTCTTTCTTTCTTTTGATTTTGATTTTGATTTGCTATATTCGTGGGTATATTTTTTTAAAATGGGATATTATCATCATCATCGTTTATCATCGTTGTCGTTGTCGTTTATCATCATCAGCGTTTTTTGTATCGTATCTTATGAATGAATGAATAATAATGATTATCGATTAAAGAACTTAAAAAGAAAGAAGAAAAATAGAAAATGTTTTCAAAATATATTTTATTTATGTTACTGTTTTTTTTTGTCATTAAAGTTTTTTTTCGGGTTGGTTTTTCAGTTTTCAAAATGATGGCAAATTCATCATCAACAAAAATCATTTGATTTCTTTTGATTTTTGTTGTTTGTTTTCTGTTGATTTTTGTTGTTGATTTTTTTCCTCTCGATTGAACCAAAGAAAGAAAATCGATTTATCAAAATATGATTGATATTTTCAAATGAGATAGAGTGCCATCATCAAATTAGTTTAGTTTAGTTTAAATAATCGATAATTAACAAACAAACAGAGAAAATTTGCTTATTAACGATAATGTGATTATCATTAATATTAGTCGAAATGAATGTTTCCCATTAATTTATCATCTATGATTTTTGATTTTTTGAATATTCAAATTTGTTCATTATCAAATCTGAATATTCAAAAATTCACCCAAGAAAACGTTTAATTTTCCGTAATTTTTCTTTTTTTTTGCTTAATGTTTTTGTTTTTGTTTTTTTTTTGTTTTCCGTCAAACTGATTGTGCATTACTTGACAGCAATCAAAAGCGAGAAAACTGAACCTATCCATTTTCAAGCGAGCAAAGGAAAGGATTTTTTAAAATATTTTTTTCCTAAGAAAATCCAAACGCAATGCCAACATTGGTTGATGATCATCATAAGGGAGCCATTTGGATAATCGAAAAAACTGTATGTTTTTGGTTTTTTGTTGTTGTTGTTTCCATTGTTAAATTTTTTTTTCAACGAAAAAAGAAGTGTGATGGCCATCAAAAAAGAAAATCAACAGCCGCCGTTTTCTTTCAAACTCTCATCAATATTTTTAATGTTTTTTTTTCTCTCGCTTAGATAGGGAGAGAGAGAGAGAGAGAGAGAGAGAGACAACCACTGTTCTCCTTTCTCCCATCAGAATGAATGAATGACGATTCTGGCTTTTCGACCAAAAACCGGGCCTTATTTCGGCCATCAGAATATTCTTTGCCATTCGTTGATGATGTTTTCTGCCCTGGGATTTTCAAATTTTTTTCCTTCCTTCCAAAAAAACCAATTTTCGTACAGGAAATCTGCTGAATCGATCGAATAACCAAGCGATTAAACGGTTGGTTGGCTGGCTTGGCTTGTCATTTTGTTCAATCATATCACTCTCACTCGTTCGTTTACTGGATATACCTGTATGATATGATGATCATCAGGATTTTGAATCCTCGACAACTGGCAACAAAAAACAGGCACTTTGAATACACCAGTAGAACCACTTTTTTTTCATTTTCTCAATCAAAATCATTGATTTTTTTCTTCATTTCTGCAAACATTGAATGTATAATGAATCAATGGTCAAAAAACAACAACAAAAAAAAACATGCTGCAATCAGCGGCAGCAATATTCTTATATGGTCGCTGGCTGCTGTGGTTGAAGAATTAACGTGAAAAGATTGAAGAAAACAACAAAAACAATCAAGGCTGGAAACAACAACAAAAACAAAAACTTCAATAAATAAATAAAATATGGCGAAAAAAATGGCAACTTTTTTCCATTTTCATCTAAATCAAACTTTTTAACTCTTTCGTTTCATTTTTGTTGTTGTTTTTTTTTCGTTATTGCACTGACTGTGATTGTGAATTCATTCAACATTTACGATTGAATTTTTTCTTCAAATTTTAAATGCAAAAAAAAGAAGTGTAAAAAAAGGATGATGATAATCATGATGGTAATTATCATCATCAAATGCAATAAAAAAAAAATTTTGTTGTTGTTTTTTCTTCGTTGTCATACTTCTTATATGTTCAACAGATAGCGAAAAAAACAACAAAAAAAAACCAAGGACAATTTAACTGAACTGAAATGAAATGAAATAAAATAAAAATTCAGTTCGATACAATTTAAGACCTATATATCAAGGAAAAAAACGGAAAAAACAAACAAAACAAAAACACAAAACGTAAATGGACAGAAAACTTATGGGTTTTTTTTCAATTCGAATGTTATTCAATCAATGAGTTCCGTTTTGCATCTATCGATATCGGCCATCTCTATCGATATATCGATTATAATGTCCATCACTATTTGTTTGTTTGTTTTTTTTTCAAATTTCACAAATAAAATAAATATTATAAATCTTTATTTATTACAGAAAAATAATGCAATTTAGACATTGGAATTTTATAAATTATAATTAGTTTTTTGAAGACATTTTTTTGTTGTTGTTGTTGTTGTAGTGGATAGGCACCCTTTTTTGCGTGTGTGTGTTAGTTTGTTTGATCTTCAATATATGGACAGTTTGTTTGAAAATTTAAAAAAAAGTAAAAAACAAAATTTTTTTTTTATAAAAAAAAGTGGAAGATTAAATAATATAATAATCCTATATTAATGAATTTCGAATGATTCGGATATCATCTTGGCTAAATTTGTAGCTTGAATTTTTTTTTAATCTAGACAGTATCTTCCATCGACATTAATAATGGATTAACATATTCAAAGCCTTCAAATTCACTTTGGTCAATTTTTTCGATAACACGTAAATCATCAGGTGTTAATCGTACAGGTTCATCAGTAAATTGACGATCAAAATGTTTAAGATCTCGATCGGTTTCTAATTTTGGTTTATATGGTGGTTGCACTTGTTTTGCTTCAAGCTAAATAAGAATGATGGTTAAATTTAACAGAAAAATGAAACCAATTATAAATCTAAATAATTAATTAACCAAATACATACCAATTCCCAATCAATAGATTTAAAAAAAGGATGAGATTGAATATCGAATATTCCGGTATCTGGATGGCAACCCAAACGTTCTTGTGGATTTTTATTAAGAAATCCTTTCAATGCAGATTGAGCTTTAGTCGAAATAGAACGAGGAATACGAATCGTTTTTTCAAGAATTACTTGAAACAGATAATCTTCAGTATTCTGATCTGGATTGTCTGTTGCACCAACAATATCGAATGGTGAACGTCCAGCCAACATTTCATAAAGAAGAACACCTAAAGCCCACCAATCAGGTTCAAAACCATATTCTTCACCACGAAGTATTTCTGGTGCAATATAATTTGGTGTACCACAAAATGTTCCGGTTGTATCACCTTTTCGTATACCTTCTTTACACATTCCATAATCGGTCAATTTAATATGACCTTCGTGATCAAGTAGAACCTAATTAGAAAAATTTCTTAAAGTTAATGGGCCTCTTTTTTTAAAAAAGAATTCACATACATTATCCAACTTGAGATCTCGATAAATAATTCCACGTTCATGAAGAAAATTTAAAGCCAACGTAATTTCAGCTGCATAGAAACGTGCATGTTCTTCAGGCAATCGACGTTGTTGTTGCATATGAAACATAAGATCACCACCACGTACAAATTCAATGACAAAAAATAACCTATATTTTTTTATCAAATGGATTATTATATATTGATAATCTGAAAATGGCAAAAAGAAATAAAATAATAATACCTAGATTGTGTTTGAAAACAGGAATGTAAACCAACAAGGAATGGATAATTGGAAGCAGTTTCAAAAACATGTTTTTCGGTCTGTACCCAATCAATATCTTCATCATCTGTAACCAATTCTTTTTTAATAACTTTCATAGCATAAATCCTTTGCGTTTGTTTTAATTCGACCATTAAAACTTTTGCATAAGAACCACGACCAATCACACGAAGTAATTCAAAATCATCAAGTGAATAGCCTGTAGCTGCTGTTGTTGAATGTTCATTTAATTGATTTTGTGGATCAACATCTTGTCCATCTTTATGACTACGAATAACCGGTTGATATGGTGTCATTTGATTTGATTCAAATTGATGTTTACGTCGGCTACCTGGTGTATGTCCTGGACGTAATTTAATATCATCTTTAGATAAAATAGTTATATCGGTTCCATTCATATTGTTATTATGATGATTTGATCGATGATGATGATGATGATGATGTACATCAATCGATGATGGACTTGAACCAGATGAATGTGATTGATTCTGTGCAGTCGAACCAGTGGATGTTTCAAGTAATAATCCCGAACAATTATCACGAAATAATTTATGACATTTTTTATGTACCATTAATTTACAATTGATACATTTAAAACCTTGACGACCAAGACCCCATATACGATCATTACAAAATGCACAGAATGCTTTACGATTAAAACGTTTTGCTTGAAATATATGACCATTTACATGATATAATTTACGCCATCTACGTGCACCACGACGATAAATTGATTCTATCCAACAACAACAACAACAACAACAACAACAAAACATTAGAATCGATAATTTTTTCAATTCGATAACTTACTATCTTCTCCTATGCACGGTAAACCAGGAAATGGAACATTTGGAAACACTATTAATAAGACAAAAAAAATTAGCACATCATTTTCAAAAAAAAAACAATCAACAACATTACCATGTATTTTAATCTCTGAATCTTTATTCAATTCATATTGTCGTATAGCTTCTTCTAATTCGGCTTGTGAAGATATCACACATGGATCGCCTGTGTTCAATAGAATCAAATGTGGAATCAAAATTAATTTTAATTAAAAATCACTAAACTAAAAACAACAACAATAACGGATGTATGTATCCGCTTTGAAGTGATAATGTCCTGTCAATCATTTTTTTTATGATGACAACATCTTACCTTCTTCATCGACCCATTTCATTGTAAAATTTTGTTCATTATCAAATTTACAAATTTCTCTCATTTCCTGGCAAAGATTTTCCAATGTTATAATTGGTTGTATGTAGATGATCATTATTTCGCTAAATAATTTTGAAAAAAAAGAAAAAATTATTCATAAAATTTGGCTACATATTTAGTAACATTACCCATTATAGGCGGCTTTTATACGAATTTCGTTATCGTTTTGATGACGCATCATCATCATTTTTAACTATTGATTTCTTTTTTGATTATAATTATAATTAATTGAACTGAATAAAACCTGAGTAAACGTTTATTTGTTAACCGGCCATTTTAAATACAGGCATATTGATCGATAATGTGTGCAAAAACAAATGAAGAAGAAGATCAAGATATCAGGTATATTTTATTAGAAATTAATCAATATATTGAGCAAATTTAACTGAACAAAAATGGATAAATATAATAAATATCGAATGTCTAAATAAAATAAATAACAACGTTACAAAAAAAAATGTCCATGTCAACGAATTCTTCGGTGATTTTTTTTTCGAAGAAACAAAATTGTGATCAAATAAAATCCAACAAGTTGATGATTTGTGACAGGTAGATGCATTGATCGATAATAATGATTTTATCACTCATCGTTTATTTTTATGTTCCTGTTCATAGACAACAGTACTAACTGCTATTTACGTTCATACTGCTACCACTACTATTCATTCCATTTTGATGACACATCAAACATTGTTTTCATCAAAGAGGCGTGTCTTATTTCTATTCGATAATGCCACTACTGTTTTTTTTGGAATTTTCAAAGTAGTAGCCAATAACAAAGTAAAATTGTAACTTTTTGTTATCATTTTTGTAAACTACTACAAATCAGGTGTGTTTGTGTGTGGTATGTTTTTTTTCGGTTTCCTCACACCCAAATGAATGAAATCGCTATTTGGAATGTTTGTTTGTTTGTTTGTTATTGTCAAAAATGATTCCATTTTGATTTGATTTGATTGAAGAAAATTATTGAAAAAAAAAACGAATCTGATTTCGAAAAAAATAATGGCGACCCTGCAGCATCATCATCAAATACAACAAGATCAACAACATCAAGGACAGCAACAGCAGCAGGAAGTGGTCACTTTGAATGATGCCATAAGTAATGTTGATGTTTTGGATGCACTCGAACTTCCAGATTCTCAACCATGTATTACCGGAGAAAATTGGTCGATTGTTTATCATGTTAATTTTGATACAAATTTCGAAGATCGTAATGCATTTGTTTGCGGTGTTGCCAAATACATCGAAGAAGCTACCGTACAATGTCATCTTAACGTAATGCTAGACGAAGGAGAAAAACATGCGGTCATGTTGTACACCTGGAGATGTTGTTCACGAGCCATTCCACAACCTAAATCAAATGAACAGCCAAATCGTCGTGATCTCTATGAAAAAATTGTCGAAGTACTTGGTCCAGAAGTAAAAAAATTACTTTCGTTTATGTATTTCCAAAAAGCAGCGATTGATCGATTCTGTTACGAAGTAAAACATCTATGTCGAAATCCAAATCAAGCTGGTCCAGATAGTTCACATAATGCAGCCGATTCTGGTAAAGAAAAAAAATCATCCGGCAATCAAAATACATTTGTTTCTGAATCCTATCTACTTACATTGGGTAAATTTATCAACATGTTTGCCGTACTAGATGAATTGAAAAATATGAAATCATCAGTTAAAAATGATTATGCTACATATCGTCGTGCTGCACAATTTCTAAAAGTTTTATCCGATTCCGAATCATTACAAGAATCACAATCATTATCAATGTTTTTAGCTATGCAAAACAAAATTCGTGACAATCTTAAAGAATCGTTGGAAACAATCAATGGTTATGAAGAACTTTTTTGTGATCTTGTCAATTTATTCACTAATATGTATGAATGTAAACAATATGTATTACCTCAAGAAAAACATATGCTTGTTAAAGTAATTGGATTTACATTATATCTTATGGATGGTGCTAATTGTAATATTAATAAATTGGATGCCAAACGACGAATATCATTAAATCGTATTGATAGAATTTTTAAACATTTAGAAATGGTACCCCTGTATGGAGATATGCAAATAGCACCATTTCAAACATATATTAAACGTTGTGCTCATTATGATCAAACTAAATGGCCACTTTGTTCAAATTCAACAACATCATCATTACAGGCAGATATTCTTCAATATTTACCATCAATTCGTGATGATTATGTTGCTTTCATATCTGAACTTTCTCGACATTCGAATGAAGTTACTACAACAGTTAAAGATACACCAAGAACTGATGGTGAAAATCGTGAACTATTAAAATTAGCTTTACGTGGTATACAATTATTAGCTGATTGGACTGCTCATGTAACGGAATTATATTCATGGAAATTAATGCATCCAACTGATTCACATCAGACAAAAACCTGTCCAGCCGATGCAGAAGAATATGAACGTGCAACCAGATATAATTATAGTTCACAAGAAAAATATGCATTAATTGAATTAGTGGCTATGGTCAAAGGACTTCAGGTATTGATGAATCGTATGGAAGCCGTATTTGTAGATGCTATTCGTCGAGCAATCTATGCTGATTTACAAGATTTTGTACAAATAACATTGAAAGAACCTTTACGAAAAGCGATTAAAAATAAAAAAGATGTCGTAAGAACAATGATTACTTCGGTAAGAAATACTTGTGCCGATTATATGCGTGAACAACAACCGAATCGTAGCGGCGGTGGTGGAAGTTCATCAAATTCATCCAAATCATCGCTTATGGATCAAACACAAGGAATTCAAGTTCCACGACGTAATGTTGGCCCATCAACTACTCAATTATATATGGTACGAACACAACTTGAATCATTGATTAGCGATAAAGCTTTGAGTGGTCGTCGTACATTACGTAAAGATATTGATGGACAATATTTGATTGCTATAGATAGTTTTCATAAGCAATCATTTTTTTGGTCATATTTGCTTAATTTTAGTCAAACATTACGTGAATGTTGTGATCTATCACAACTTTGGTATCGAGAATTTTATCTTGAAATGACAATGGGCAAACGTATACAATTTCCAATTGAAATGTCATTACCTTGGATATTGATCGATCAGATTCTTACGGATAAAGATGCATCAATGATGGAATGTATTCTATATCCACTTGATCTTTATAATGATTCAGCATATTATGCATTGACAAAATTTAAAAAACAATTTCTTTATGATGAAGTTGAAGCCGAAGTTAATCTTTGTTTTGATCAATTTGTTTATAAATTATCTGAACAAATATTTTCTTATTATAAACAATTAGCTGCATCAATGATATTGGATAAACGTTATAGAGCTGAAATGTCTACATTGGCAGTGAATTTTAATTGGCCAGGACCTAATCGTTATGAAACATTATTGAAACAACGTCATCTTCAACTGTTAGGTCGAACTATTGATTTGGAAAGATTAATTGTACAACGTTTAAATGCTTATATGTTAAAATCATTGGAATTGGCTATAACTAGATTTGAAGCAGCTGATTTAACAAATATAATGGATTTAGATTTATTGCTTCGTGTAAATCGTTTAACACATAAATTATTGAATAAATATATCAAACTTGATTCATATGATGCATTGTTAGCTGAAGCTAATCAATCAGTATCCGATCCATATGGTCGTATTACATTACATATTTATTCGGAAATGGTTTCGGATTTTCTACCAAGATTTTGTTTCAATTCATCAACACAACGTTTTGTTCGTATGCCTGATGGACCGGGTACAGAATTTGTTGGTCAAAAAATTTCTCGTGAACGTGTATCATCAGCATTTAGTTTGCCTTATTTGGCATATGGTTCAAAAGCATTGAATTATGCATTTACTTCGATACAAAAATTATATGGTGAATTTATTGGTGCACCACATTTTCGTATTTTATGTCGTGTACTTGGTTATAGTGGTATTGCTTTGATCATTGAAGAATTACTTAATTTTATTCAGAATAAAATTCAAACATCGATTGCTACATCTGTACATAGCATACGACAAGCAATGGGTGGTAAAGATGCTAAAATGTTAAATCCATTAGTAAATTCGGCACAAACTTTTATGACGTTAAGAAAAAATCTTGAAAATCTAATACATAATAGTGAAATTAAAACACGTGTATTTCAGGATTTTAGAGAAATTGGCAATTGTCTTCTTTTCTGTTTATACATCGAACAAGCATTGGTTTGTGTTGCAATGAATGTTTTGGAATGATTCATTGATTTTTAATTATCATTTTTTTTTCTTTTTTAAATTATTATTTTCAAATAGTCACAAGAAGAAGTTTGTGATCTTTTACAAGCAGCACCATTCCAAAAAGTATTTCCATTACCATTTTTGAAAGAAACCGAAAAACAAGAATCCAAATTAAAACGAATGGAAAATCGTTATTCATCATTACATGTTGTATCTGTTATTGAAAAATTTGGCGCACCAAAGGTATTGTTTTTGTTTATTTTAATGTTTGAAAAATTTTTTTCGTTTATTTTACTTTTTTTTCTTAAAAATATAATAGCAAGCATTAATTGCTCGTGATGCTGATCTATTGACCAAAGAACGTCTTTGTTGTGGTCTTTCTATTTTTGAAACTGTATTGAATCGATTTCGTGAAATATTGGATAAAGATCCGGGAATTTGGCATGGTGAAGATAAACCAAAAAATAATATAATGCATGTTAATGAATGTGTAGAATTCTATAGAATTTGGTCAGCATTACAGTTTATATATTGTACACCATTATTGGGAGAAAATGATCTTACTATTGAACAATTATTTGGTGAAGGTTTAAATTGGGCTGGTTGTACATTTATCATGTTATTACGGCAACAACGTCGTTTTGAATGTATGGATTTTAGTTATCATTTATTGAAAATTCAACGTTTCGATATGTGTACGGAAATTATTGAAAGAATCGTATGTTTATAATTTTTAATTATCCTTATTTATGATTAATAATCTTTTTTTATTAAAAAAAAATAGCAAATCAAAAAAATGGTTGAACGTATACGACGATTTCAGGTGCTCAATAGTCAAATATTTTCAATGTTAAATAAATATCTATCATCTGCATCCATGGATAGTAATATGGTTGAACAGATAAAATGTTTGAATCCACCATCATTTCCAAGACAAGGTTTGTAATTTTTAAAACATTATCTCGATTGATTGAATTAATCATTATTATTATTTTTTTTCAATTTAGTAAAAATTGGTAATCAAACACCGGCACAGGCTCCAATTTATATGCGTACAGATATTCTTTTGCAACAGAAACGTCATCTTCAACAAGAATAAACAAGATTTGTTCATTTTTGTAAATAATTTCTACATTTGAAAGGAAAACTTATTCGTTTATATACCATTTTTTATTTTGAATATACAAAAAAAAAAATTTTTTCCAATTTTCGATAGATGTTTTTAATTGTTTGTTTGTTTTTTCATATAATAAAAAAATCTGAAAATAAATTGATGTTTTTTTAAAAAAAAAAAATTTCCATCTTCACTCAACAGGGTCACTTGGATATAATTAGACGCACATGATGCATGATATGCATGACAAACAAAAAAGAAAAATTTCTTATGGGAAATTGGATGCATTGTTTTTTTTTGAATTCTAATTGACATCGATTGAGGCATTTAAAAAAATTGATTGTTTAATTTTTCAAATTAATAATGGCAACTAGTAACAATGATCAACAACAATCACCATCGGCAACAACTAGTGGACGTTTAGATTTAATTCTTCCTCATCTTAGTGATATTCGTATACCGACTACTGGAGATAAAGTTTACAAAGATGAATGTGTTTATTGTTTCGATACACCCGTAAATAAATTTTATTGTTTTTAATTGATAGTTTTTTATTAAAATCATGTTCTATTCTTTTATAGTCTTCACCCGATGGAATTTATATCTGTATGAAAACTTTTCTTGGTTTGGGACGTAAATTCGTTCCATTTCATCATGTTCGTACTGGTAGTGCTGTATATTTGAATATACGACGAAAAACAGTTCCAGTGAAAAAAGATTTCAGTAATGATGATAAATCAAAGATTACTAAATTGGCCATCAATGTTGAAGGTGGATTTCAAACTGCTGATAATAAATTAGAACATCAAGAATATAATTCGATCATAATAATGCCAGATTTTATTGAAATTTCATTGGATCTTACTGGTTCAACAGAATTACCTGATAAAGTGGTTATGGCTGTTTCGGGAATTTTATCAGCAGAATCAGCATCAAAACGTGCTGAATTAGAATCATTGGAAAATACTTGGGATGGTGAAAAACGATCCGTTTCGAAACATAGTGAAAAGTTGATTCAGTTAGATAATGGAGTTCGTATACCTCCATCCGGATGGAAATGTCAAAAATGTGACATACGTGAAGGATTATGGCTTAATTTGACCGATGGTTCAATTGGATGTGGTCGAAAATATTTTGATGGAACCGGTGGTAATAATCATGCATCTGAACACTATGATGAAACCAAATATCCTTTGGTTGTCAAATTGGGAACCATCACTCCTAATGGTGCAGATGTTTATTCTTATGAAGAAGATGCTATGGTACTTGATCCGAATCTAGATAAACATCTTTCTCATTTTGGTATCAATCTTTCGGATTGTCGTAAAACTGAAAAATCAATGCTCGAAATGGAAATCGATTTGAACAAACGTTTTGATGAATGGTCTATTATCCAGGAAGATGGTCTTGAATTGAAACCACTTTTCGGTCCTGGATTCACTGGAATGGCTAATCTTGGCAATAGTTGTTATCTTAATTCAGTGATGCAAATGTTGTTCAATATACCGGATTTTATTGATGAATATTATCGACAAGATAAATCGGTACAATATCGAGAATCCGATAATATTGATCCAGCTGGAGATTTACGTACACAATTAATGCGTTTAGCAGCAGGTCTTTTATCGGGCGAATATTCTCTTTTTAGTGAAAATCTTAATGAACAGATTGGAATCTGTCCACAATTATTTAAAAATCTTATCGGTCGTAATCATATAGAATTTAAGTCAAAACGTCAACAAGATGCACAAGAATTTCTTCTTTATGTTATTGAAAAGATTGAAAAAATGCATCACGCTGAACAAAGTCGTGGACGAAATCGTACAGTAGAACCACCGGGTGATTGTTTTAAATTTGAAATTGAACAACGTGTTGAATGTGGTGAAAGTGGTAAAGTTAAATATACTAATCGTCAAGAATCACATTTATCGTTACCAGTTACTGATGTGCCTATACAAAATCAAGCTGAATATGATGCTTATTTGGCACTCAAACAACAGGCCGAAGTTAATGGAGAAAAATTGTAAGTTTTGGTTTTTTTACCATTGAAATTTTTATTTTATCATGTTCGTTATTCATTGTAGAGATTCAAGCCATACAGTTCATCCAATCATTAAATTAACTGATTGTATTGATAACTTTGCTGCCAAAGTTCGAATCGAAGAATTTTATAGTTCTGCTGTAAATCGGAAAACATTTGCAACAATGTATGTGTACTTTTTTTACTCATTTTTCTAATATTATCAATAAGTTTGTTTGTCTCTTTTTTAAAAGGACAAGTCGATTTCGTACTTTTCCAGATTTTTTATTGATTCATTTGAAAAAATTTACTTTGAATGAAAATTGGACACCAAAAAAATTGGATATATCTATGGATGTTCCTGATCATATTGATTTGGAATGTTTTCGTGCTCAAGGAAAACAACAAAATGAAGAAGAACTTCCTGAAGATGCAATTGTTGAAGATGGTAATAATTCTGCTTCAACAAATGTACCTTCATTTGAATTTAATCAAGAATTTCTTCAACAATTGATCGATATGGGTTTTCCAGTTGAAGCTTGTAAACGTGCTTTGTTTCATACACAAAATGCAGGTATGGAACAAGCTACCGGCTGGATTCTCGAACATCTTGATGATCCAACAACAATGGAACCATTTGTAATACCGTCCAATGCCAGTCTTCCTCAAGGAGAACAAACCAGTAATGCTAGTGGTCAATTATCGCGAGTCGAAATTGAACCAGAAGCTTTACAAACGTTACGAGATATGGGCATGCCAGAACGATATGCATGTCTTGCATTAAAGTTCAATGTAACTATCTTAATATATGATTTCAACAAATTTCAATAATTTTTTTTATTATTTTGATCAGAATAACCAAGCTGAACGTGCTATCGAATGGTATTTCTCAAACGAACATCAAATAGATTCGATTGAAAGAGAAGAGTTGGCCAAACAAGCACAAATGAATGCATCGAGTACCGTTAATCAACAACAACAACAACAACAAACTACCAGAGATGGTGTTGGACGATATGAATTGGTTGGATTTATTTCACATATGGGTCAATCAACATTTTGTGGACATTATGTTGTTCATTTAAAGAAAACTTTACCTTCTGAAACCGAAGCATCACAAACACCAAATTCATCGTCAACAACATTATCATCGTCACAAGCCGAACAACAATGGGTCATATTTAATGATAATAAAGTGGCCATTTCTGAACGTCCTCCAAAACAATTTGCATACATTTATCTATATCGCCGTTGTACATGATTATTATCTAGATAATACCTTTTGATTCTCTTTGATTAGATAATATATTATTCTTAAGGTTTCTGGTGTGTGTGTGTGTGTTCGTCAATCCATTGGTTGTAATTGATTTTAATTTTTTTTTTAAATTCTAAATAAAATTATTTTCTTGAAATTAAAAATTTCAACAAAAAAAAATCTAAAATTTACAAAATTTAACAATACGATAATGATAACAGAATTCAAATAAAAAAGCAATAATACTGATTATAATGAATAATAGATAAAAATAAAAAATCGATCGTAAATGTTTCAATGTAAATTGTTGTCGATTTTTATGGCCATTATTAATATTTGTTTCGGTAGGCGGATCAGCAACCAATCTTTCGCTACGAAAACGAATCTTATCTAATGTTTCCCAACGTTGCCAGATTCCTGTTGGAACCATTTTTGATATGCTTTGCCAAAAAAAAACAAAAAACAGAAATTAAAACAAAGTTAGAATTAATTTAAAAACAACTTACAATTTTTCAAATGGTTTAAAATATTTAAAATATTTATATGTTGGTGTTGATACCAATGTTGTATAGAATGTAGAATCCTCATTTTCCGGTGGAATGTAAAGAAAATCCTGACCTAAACTTAATTGAAAAAATCGTAACTGTTTTCTTGGTAATATGAATGCATAAAGTTTTCGTTCGGATTTTGGTAGAAAATTTTGTGATTTCAGCAAATCCAAAGCTGAAGCTCGATTTGGCATCCATGTCATATGATTCCATACTACTTTAAATGTTTCCAAAGGAGAATCCTATAAGCGAAAAAAAAGAAATTTATTTATCATTTTATTTGATTGAAATGATTTTACATACAGAAAAAACATCAACTATACTGCTATTACGAATGCCCATTGGTGTTATTTTACCAGCCAAAATAGCTTTAGTCAATTCATCAATAGTATCGATAGGTATTTCAGATGGTAATGCTAACATTGATGAAAATGAACCCATATAACTAGATGTTAATATAACCGAACAAAAAGTCCAGAAAATAGCTAAAACTTTAATAGATTTTTGTGATGAATTTAATTGATAATATTGCTGACGAATAAGCAAAGAGAAACAAATCCATAAAAGATTATGATCGGTTTTTGTTTGTGAAATTTTTTGTATTCGATGTTGATGATGACAATAAAACATTGTTCTAATCGTTGAAAAAAATGATGGCATTTTTAAAAATAACCATAATCCAATGAACATGAATAATAATATAAACCAAATGGTTGATTGAAATGGTTTCCATAGAAGATCAATACGGCCACGATCTTGAACGAATGGTGGATAAGCAAACATTATCTGATCAATAGTATATGGATAAAGAAAATCAACAAATTGTTTTCGTTGTACAGTTTGCATAAATCCACCAACAGCAAGATCAATTTCTTTTTTATAAACCATATCGATTAAATCGGCACGTGTACCTAATGGTCTACGAATATCTGAACTAAGTGAATAACCTGGTGTTACCCATTGTATGGTAAAATTATAATGTTCACTTAATAAATGAAACATTTGTGGATCCATACCGCCGATCAATTTGAATGATTTTATTGATTCATCCCAACGAATCCATGTATAAGGCAATGACTTTTGATCAAGAAAGAAAAAATCATATCAGATAAAATCAAAAATACTTATATGACTTACATTTAAAAATCCAATAGATATGGTTTGATTATGCAGATCGAATTTCATATTTTATAATCGGTGTTTTAACGCGTTCGCTACCGGAGATTTCGAAAAACCCATAGAACTACAGCAAATAATCGACGCATATATGCGTCGCTGGTAGCGAACGCGTTAATCGACTTTCTCATTATAAATGACACATTGAAATAGAAAAAAAATATATCAGCATATTTCGAATATTAATCGATCGAATAAACCGATTGAAAATCGATCACAATGAGAAAATTTTTCTTGCCTTAAAAATAATCATCATAAACAACATTGAAAATGATTATTTTTTACTGCAGCAAGCAGACCATATGTGATACAAATTTGTTTCTTTCCAATTTATTACAAAGTTTCCGGTGTACAATATACATATAGAAAAACAACTTTAACCACTTGAAAAAGGTTTGGCGAAAAAAAAAATCACAGGATCGATACAAATGAAAAAAAATAATAATTACTTTTTAGATGAATGAGAAATTCTCATCGGGTGGTTGAAAAACAATATTGAAAAGGAATTTTTAAAAATAAGAAAATGTTTGAATATTTCGATAATGAATGTGAGCAATGAAATCAAGATCATGATCAAATATAGATAGAAAATACTTTTTAAATTTTCTAATGTAAAATCTATAAAATTAATAACTTCACTTTCATATTCTTCAATTGTTTCTGGTGAAACTTTTGCGTTAACATCAATTTTGAATTTATATTTAATAGAATCGAGCATTTGCCAACGAAGAATTAATCCTGTAGTAATCAAACGAGATATACTTGAATAGATGAATTGATAAGAAAATTCTTTTAAAAAAAAATTGATTGGATATAATTGTTTAACTTACAATTTTTCAAACAATTTTTTGTTTTGAAAACCTTTTCGAATCGGTGTGGCCACAAATGATGGAAAAAGTGTTGATTGTTCATCAGGCGGTACAAAGATTTTATCTTCGCCTTTTATTTTTTGATGAAATAACATCGCTTCACGTGGTGCAATCAATGATGAATAAGGACGATGTGCTGAAACTATTAGATTTAATGGAACAGAACTATTCGGTACCAATACGATGAATGACCAAATTGTGAGCAATTTACTATCTTGAGAATTCTATTTACGGAAAAAAAAGAAAAGAAAATTATGTTATTCAATTGTAACGATCATTGTTGTTGTTGTTGAAGAAACATACCCGAAAAAATTCGACAATACTTGTATTATCTATGGCCATCGGAATTAAACGACCAGAAATACAAGCATCAACAAATTTATCAATTGTATCAACTTCATCAATTTCAGGCAGTGTTAATATTGAACAAAGTGTACCAAGATAAAAATTTGCTAATACTAGACTTGAAAATGTCCAAAAAATGCAAGCAATACGAATGGATGTACTAGTTGATGACATTCTTTGATATGGTTGTCTTACAAGCAAATGAAGATTAATCCACAGAAGATTATGTTTAACATTTTGTTGTCGTGATGAACGTAGCCAATTCTTTTCGATTAAACTGAACAACCAGAAAAGAATTACACACAATAAAATAGCAATGTAAACATTATGATGAAATGGTCGTATTAGAAGATTAATTGGGCTTCCGCTATGTGAAATAGGTGAATAGATGAATGTAAACTTATCTCGTCCATGTGGATAAAGAAAATCCACTACATCTAAACGTTTGGAAGTTGTCATCAAACCACCTACAGCTAAATCAATTTGATTATCGATTATTTCGGCTATCATACCGGACCAAGATCCATTTTCAAGTTGAGCACCAAATTGACGATCCACTCGACGTTTCCATTCGATTGTAAAATTAAAATATTCACTTGCAAGTTGCCACATTCGTGATTCAAATCCACCGGTTACTGTATATTGTGATGTAGTCGAATCAAGTTCCAACCATGAAAATGGTAATACCTGAAGAATAATTTTCAAAATGATCAAAAAAAAACCAAATCAATCACAAACTTACATTGATGAATCCAATCTTCAATGTCATCATCTTCATGTTTTTTTTGGCAATTCAAAACAAACAACGAACAAAAATTAGTTATTTTCCTCGATATGTTTCAACTGATTGAACTGATTTGTCGCTCTTGTTGTTGTTGTTTTTTTTTTTTTTTTTTTTTTTTTTTTTAAAAAATTTCCCCCAAAAATAGTTTTTTTTTTTAATTTTTTTTTTTTTGCTCTTTTTTTTTTTTTTTTTTTTTTTTTTTTTTTTTTTTTTTTTTTTTGCTATAAAAAACCAATCACAGTTTTTGTTGTTGATAATAATAATGACTTGAAAAAAAATATATATTTTCAATTTCTCAATCCAAATATGTAATCAACTCGATTTTTTTTGTTGTTGTTGGATCGATTGAATCCAGTATTTTTTTCCCATTTTTGTTGATTGTAACATTTCACATCCCCCAGCCATTCCAAAAATGTTAATCGATCAATCAATCAATCAATTACGAAAATTAGTACAGAGAAATTCTTGAGAAAAAGTCATGATGTTGAAATAGGTATTTTATAAATCGATGTTACTTCGATATTGATAATGATATTCATTATTATTATCATTGAGGTCATTAGGTCATTCATTCTTTTTGATGATAATAATAAAGAAGTAAATGGAATTTTCATTTATAGCCATTTTGATATGTTCCCCCTCCGCGTCTATCCTGATGAAAAAATGAAATAAAAAATGAGTCATTCATAAAATGAAATCAAGGTCATCAGCATTATGATTTTTTTTCAATCAAACAGAAATGGATGCCAAATAAAGCTGTTTAACTATGGATCGTGACCATCATTCTCTTTTCTTTTTCACTTTTTTTGTTTGTTTGTTTGTAATATTTCAACTTGTTCTAATTCGAGTAGCTGTTTTTTTTAGTGGAATCGGTTATTGTAATAGATTTTATAGTCGGTAATTTTGTTTTTTACACAAAAATAATTATTTACAGATTTTTGATTAATATTAACGGGTTCTTGGCAATCCTATTAGATTTTGAAAATCGAACAAAATGTTACCATTATTACCGATAGATGGACCGACCGACCGTAAATTGTCGATATCGATCCGTTTTTCTTGTTGTTGGTTGCATAAGTTTTCCGTTTTGTTTTCAACCCGAAAAATCGCAAATCACAAACAAAAATGATAAAAATTACAAAAATGATACACAGAGATTGGCATTTTGTTATTATCACATACCTATTTTAAAATGAAAGTGGAATTACAAGATTTTTTTTTGAAAAAACTGGAGAGAAATGACTTACAAAATTGAATTGCCAATTTCAATTCGAATCATTTTTTTTGTTTTTCATCGAATCCGAATTCCAATATTTGAAACGGAAGAAATTAGTTCCGTTCGGAAAATTTTACCACTACCACAAAATTTCCCTTACACAAACATTGTTCCACAATTGAAGATTTGATGTTTCAACTTTTTTTTTGAAAAAAATTTTTCTTTAAAAAAATTTTCTCTCTCTTTTTCTGGATCTTTGAAACATTTTAATGATAAAACATGGTCGGATGACAGGTTTCCGTTTTTTCTTTTTTCTTTCTTTCTTAATTTTTATCGACAAAAAAAGCATGCATGCAACCTCTTATTCTTTCTTTTTTTCATTCAATCAAACTACCACTACCATTGATGAGGTCAATAATTTTTCGAGGATTTTAATTGACCTGAATCCTGTTTTTCCTTTTCAGTTTTGTTTGCTACTACAACATAAAGAATATATTTTTTTTTCGAGGATACAAATGTCAAATGCCACTGCTTTTCGAATACAGAGAGAAAAGAAAAGATTTGTGAAAGAGAAATGACCACTATCCAAACATCGAATATGAAGGTGAGCTTCTTAAAGATTTCATGGTGATCAACAAGCTCTTTTTTTCTTCTTTTGACAACGATGACGTCTTGAAAATGATCCAAGGATTTGGATTTGGGAGAAAAATCAAATTGTCTCATCCTGAAAACGAACAACAACAATTTTCATTTTAAACAATCATTTTTCTTGTTCCGTTTTGTTTCCCATCAACCTGTTGATTCTATTTTGATTGTTTTTGTTTTTTTTGCATTGTTTTTTGTTTTTGATAAATTGATTGTGAAAATTGATCAAATTTACCCAACGTTCATTAAAGTTGAATACGAAAAACTCGAATTTCACACACATAATAATTTTATGAAATGTTTAAACAATTGTTGATACTGATGTTTGGCCAGCAACAACAATAATAATAGCAACAACAACAACAACAGGTTGTTGTTCATGTCAACACACAAACAAAATCAACGTTAGGCTATTTTGATTTTCACCAGAATGAACTAAACGTCATTATTTTTACCTATAGTGATGATGATTGTTAAAAGTGGACAAATGAGATGAGTAACAATGATGAAGAGTTTGTTTGCGTGTGACAAAAAAAAAATGGACAATGACATCATCAGCACCATACAAAGTTATGAAAAAATGTAATGAAAATACCTTTTGATGATGTACCATAATCATCACCTTCATCATTGATAAAATCCAATCTGCAGCTTTACCTTTTTTTTTCACATCGATTTTCAGTGTGTGCCATTTATTTTCGAATGCCTGATTAAATTTTTTGTATTTCAAACAAAAAAAAAACAATCATGGCAGCTATTTCGAGTCAATTTTTTAGGAAAAATAACTGTAAATCAAAATGTGTATATTTGAATAGTTCCGGTGATATACAACAACATGAACAACAACAATTTTGTTTTCATCGACATAAAAGGCGGAAACAAATGATTCGTATCGATTTATCGATACAAAATCAATCAAAAATGATAATTGATAAGAATGATTATTATAAATGTCATTATCAATCTAGTCATTCTTTCAATCAATTAAGGCAACTATTTTTTGTAATTTTTTTGATAACTTTTTATTTTATAATCAATATGGCTGATGCTAATTTTGGTATGTAATTTAATAGCACGTTATATCTGAAATATCAATGTTAATTTTATTATTATTATTATTCTGTTACTATAGTTCCACCTGTTGATGATTTACAAGTACAAGTATTAAGTGGTAAACAAATTGAATTAGAATGGAAAACATCCGATATAATGACCGATTCTAATATTGATGGTTATAAAGTAACTGTAGTACCAAAAGAACCAATGGCTGAACATGATTTTCGTCCTTATCAATTGGATGTATCCATAAATGATCGTTTACCTTTATCCATACGTAATCTTACTGCCGGTGGTACTTATGAAATTTCCGTATCTGTCATATCAAACGGACGTCAATCTCGCAATGAATCGGTTACGTTTACAACTAAACCGAATACACCCGGTCGTTTTATTGTTTGGTTTCGTAATGAAACTACTTTGTTAGTTCTTTGGCAACCACCATATCCTTCCGGTATATTTGATCAATACAAAGTATCGATATTTCCACAAGATGCTCATCAATCGATACTGTTTGTGAAAAAAGAATCCGATCCACCTGGTCCGGTACAAACATCTTTTGATGGTTTAATACCTGGACGAATCTACAACATAACAGTACAAACCGTTAGTCGAAATCAAATTTCCGATCCAACAGAAGCTCAATATCGTACAGTTCCATTATCACCGTCCAATCTTTCATTCAATCGTGCTACTGTAACATCATCTTCATTTGATGTTATTTGGGATCCACCTGTTGGCGAATGTGAATTTGATCGTTATCAAATATCGATCGGCTTAAAAAATGTATCACCTAAAATGGTATTCAAAGATGATCCTCGAATTGTTCGTTTTTCGGACGAAGGATTACAGCCAGGTGAAACCTATGAAGTTACCGTTAAGACAGTATCTGGTAATGTGATTTCATCGGCTATTGCAACCAATATAACAACACGACCATTACCTGTACTGGATTTAAAATCTGATCCGGATAAATATTCGGGAATTCATCTTTCTTGGCGTCCTGATAATCATTCTCGTCAGGATTCGTTCATAATTACCTATCATGAATTGGATGCATTCAATTCGGATGCTGCCATTGAAGTTACTAAAGATACTTATGTACATTTATCCAATTTATTAGCCGGTCGTAATTATTCAATTTCAGTTGCAGCTATATCAAATAATGTATATTCAGATTATGTGGTAATATCACAACCAACCAAACCAGCATCACCAGTAATTGGTGTACTTGAACCTATTTCTGGTCGTACATTGAACATTAGTTGGAAATGGGATGTAACAAGTAAACAAGATTCTTACAAAATAATTTGGATACGAAACGATACAAAAGAGAAAAAAGAACGTATTGTACGATCAAATTGGGCCGTACTTGAAGATCTTTATCCTGGTGCCATTTATGAAATATCTGTCTATGCTATTAGCCATGGATTGATTAGTGATCCACATTCATATTTTCAGACAATATTTCCTCGTCCACCTGAAACATTGCACGTAGCTCAACATTCAAATTCATCGATGATGTTATCGTGGTCTGCACCTACTGATTCATTAGTCGATCATTATATTGCTCGATATCGTCCAACCAGACAAACTGTTTGGCGAGATTTAGGCATTGTCAATACAACATCAATGGAGATTAAAAATTTAGTTGCCGGTGAAATGTACACTGTACGTGTTTCATCCGTTTCGAATCGTGCTGAAAGTCCAGATATACGTGAATTAGAACAAACTATGTTTCCAAATTCGATTGCTAGCATAAAAACGACAATCGATTCACATAATATCACTTTTCAATGGTTAGCACCAGAAGGTGTTATTGATTATTTTAGCATAATTTATAATCCAGTTAATCAACCTAAACTACAAGAATCAAGACGTATTAATTATTATAATGGTACAAGACCAGGTGATTTGATCACAGTATTCATTCAGGATCTAAAACCAGGTGAAGAATATTCATTTCGTTTTTATGTAATAAGTTTTAAACTTCGTTCCGAAGGAATCGGTGTACAAGTACGAACAAGTAAGTGAATTTTTGTTTCAAAAAGATTTTTTTTCAATTTTTTTCTTTTAAAGTTCCGGTTATCGATTCAGTCATCAATGTAATTGTTGGTGAACATGAAACAAAAACATTGGGCATTAAATATACACCTACACCATTAAGAAACGTGATTTTTGATCGTTATCGTTTTCAATTATCTGGCACAACAATACCATCACAAGAAAAACAATGGAATGATACAAATCGTTTTGTTTTGTTTGATAATCTAATTCCTGGTCGTTTATATAATCTTTCCATTTGGACGATAAGTGGTCAAACATTATCCGTACCTATTCAACGTCAAGCACGACTTTATCCGGAACCGATCCGAAATATTAATGGTTTATCAATCACTGATTCAGAAATGACATTAAGTTGGGATGTACCTTATGGTGATAAAGATGGTTACGAAGTACAATATTTTGATCCACATGAAAAAACACTTGTAGTCAACGTTACATTAATCGAAAAGATTGAATATAGAAATCTAAAACCACATAATAATTATACATTTATTGTGACTACATTATCAGGATATGGTACATCGACAATGTTACGTTCAACGCCTGTATCTCAAACATTTTTAACACTTGAATCAGTACCAGGAAAAGTATCCTATTTTCAATCAGTCGATGTTAAACCAAATGAAATAACATTACAATGGTCATTACCACAATCCGAAATGAATGGTATTCTAACTGGTTATAAAATTGTCTATTGGATTAAATCAACAATTGCAACAATAACTAAACATCAATTATTTGAACCATATGAAACCCAAGGTACTATCTATAATCTATTACCCGGAAAAACATATGTATTTCAAATACAAGCTCATACTAAAGTTGGACCTGGCCATAAAGCTGTATGGGAAGAAACGATGCCCGTTTGGTCGGCACCACCACCGGCTGATACTGTTTTTCCTACTGAAGTAGGACATACTACAAGAACAATACGAATTAGATTTCGAAAAAATTATTTCTCCAATATGTATGGTTCAATACAATCATATGCAATTATCGTTGCCGAAGATGATACAGTCAATTCTAATGTATTAGATTTACCATCATGGTTCGATATACAAGATTATGGTGTATGGCCACCTTATCAAACAACCGATCCATTTTATCCATTTAATAATTCACAAATCGAAGATTTTGTTATTGGTGCTGAACAATGTGATATTAAACAACATTTACGACATTCAACTTCGATTCGAGGTGGTTCACCTAAATACTGTAACGGGCCATTGAAACCGGGTTCTACATACAAAATTAAAATACGAGCATTTACAACAGGTGAAAAATTTACTGATACCGTATATTCATATGCAATGTCTACTGATCCAGATCATACAGCACTTTACCTATCAATATTGGCTCCATTTATATTCCTTATTCTATTGATACTATTGGTCGTCTATTTACGTCGTAATCGATTAGGTCCATTTAAAGATGGTGGTAAATTTATACATCAACATCAACATCATCACATGTCTACAATCGGACCAAATGGTATGCCAATAATGTTAAAAGATGGTACAGGACTTGGTGGTGTCAATGTAATGGGCACCGTAACGGGAAGTACTGTTGGTGATAATTTGTCGATTGTTGAAGGCGAAATCATTACTAATCGACCAATCAAATTTAAAGATTTTTCCGATCATTTTCGATTAATGTCAGCCGATTCAGATTTTCGTTTTAGTGAAGAATTTGAATTATTAAAACATGTTGGCCGTGATCGACCATGTAATGCAGCTGATTTGCCTGTTAATCGTCCGAAAAATCGTTTTACAAACATTTTACCTTATGATCATTCTCGGGTTAAATTATTGCCCACTGATGATGAAGAAGGATCTGATTATATTAATGCTAATTATATACCTGGACATAATTCACCAAGAGAATTTATTGTCACACAAGGTCCATTACATTCAACTCGTGATGATTTTTGGCGTATGGTTTGGGAACAAAATTCTCGTGCAATTGTAATGCTTACAAGATGTATTGAAAAAGGTAGAGAAAAATGTGATCGTTATTGGCCATATGATACACAGCCAGTATTCTATGGTAATATACAAGTTACCATTCTAAATGAAACTCAATATCAAGATTGGACAATTTCTGAATTTAAAGTGATGAGGGTAAGCTTTTATTTAATTTGAAATTTTTTGCTTGAAATTTTTATATTTGTTTCGATATACATAGGGTGATCAATATCGTATTGTTAGACATTTTCATTTTACAACATGGCCGGATTTTGGTGTACCAGAACCACCAAATACATTAGTTAAATTTGTACGATCATTTCGTGAACGAATAACTACCGACAATAATAAACCAATAGTTGTACATTGTTCGGCAGGTGTTGGAAGATCTGGTACATTTATTGCATTGGATCGAATTCTTCAACACATTAAAAAATATGATACGGTCGATATATTTGGTATTGTACATGAAATGCGTAAAGAACGTGTATGGATGGTTCAAAATGAGGTATGTTTGATAATTTGTTTGTGTGCGTGTATAAACTCTAAAAACGATTGTTTAATTATATTTTTTTTTTCAATAACAGCAACAATATATCTGTATTCATGAATGTTTGATGAGTGTATTGGAAGGAAAAGAAGAATTAATCGAAATGCATGAAAATGCTGGATATGAAGGTAAGTAATAGTAGAATGCCAGATTTTCAACATTTACAACATCAATAATAATAATAATAATATCATTATTTTCAATTACATTTTTTTTTTCATTTTGTCACAGACGATGAAGCAATGGCTGAATCTGGTATTTAATGGAGCAAAAAAAATAATTGAAGTCAAGTTAAATGAATTAGCTTGATAAAATCTTCTTCTTCTCTTTTCATTGTGCCAAATGGAAATGATAGCTAATGTGTTTATATGACAGCAAAGAAGAAAAATATATACCCAAATTCATTTGTGATAATAAGCCAGATGGGCAACAAGATTGATTTTGCTTTCATTTTTTTTTAAATATTTACTTGATTTTCTTTTTTTTTCATACAATTATGTATAATGTTTTTTGTTTGTTTGTTGCTACATATGTCAGTTATTTTTTCTCATGGAAAAAAATAACTGACAAATAGATTTTTTTTTGGAGGCAGCTCTATTATCATCATCATTATCATGAAGAAGATAAATGCAATATGATTCTTGGTTTATTTTCTGTTTACTGTTGTGAAACATCATTGATTTGTGTTGAATTCAAAGTCAAATGTGCAAAAAAAAAAAATAAGTGAAACGAAAACGTAAAAGAAACGAAAACGAAAACGTAAACGAAACATCATTTTGATCTTATTGATATGGATGACTTTTTCACATTTCTGAATCATCATTTTTCAAATCACCCAATATATATTCACTATAAATAGGACATTGTTTTTTTTTTGTTCATAATAATTATTTTAACTAAAAAAATACAAATATGTAAAATATATAGATTATTTATTTTGATAACATCTTTTATAATAGATTTATTTATTATATATAAATAAACAGATTACAAACACACACACATTACACACATAAATAATTTTGTATTTTCAATGGAAATAAATAATTTTGCCAATTTTCCTGAATTCTCTGTTTTACTCAATTTGTCGCTATATAACCGTTTCATTATGAATGATTTAGCAACATTCATTCATTTTTCCTTTGAAAAAGAAGTAAAAAAGATTAGTTAAAATTTCGTATCCGACTAATCTGAATAATGAAACAAAATTCTTCATTTTATAACGATTCAAGTTATTGAAATATAAACGACGAATGTAATTTGTAAATAAATTAATTGAAAATTTTTTTGTTTCTTTTTTTCTTTCCTTCATCCGAACTAATCATATTTTTTGGATTCATTCATTTTGCAATTAATTTGCCATATTTTTTGTTTTTGTTTCTTGCCATGGTGCATATTATTCTCGACATTTCATCGGAAACAAAACTAAAAGGTTTTTTTTTCTTTTTGTTGTTGTTGTTGTTGAATTTGATCGTTGTAAACAATTTGACATCAATCAAACAAGCAAAAACAAAAACAACAAACAACAACTACTACTGGAATCAAAGAATTTTCGAGCGGCAAATTGATCGAATCAATGAAAATAAAATAATAACCATTCAATGGAAAACAAAAACAAAAAATATTTCACAATTTTTCTTCTCTGTAAATGGATAGAATAATAATAAAGGAGGAGGAAAGAAAAAAAATGATTTCCGGACAACAGAAACAGCAGCAGCAGCAAAACAGAATTTTATCAGGATTTTTTTTGTTTCAAATGTACAAAACTCATCATTATTTCGTTGATTTGATTGAATTTTAAATCATTCTCGAAAAAGAAAAGAAAAAAAAAGATATGGAAAAAATTTTTGTCAAACAAAATGGAAAGAAAAGAAAAAAAAACTTTCAAATTGGATCACGAAACAAAAAAAGACAAGACAAGTTAGAACATCATCTTTTTTCACATAGTTTCATCCTTTAGGGTGAATATATTATAATTAAATATACAGCCAAGCAAGATTGATAAAATTTTTTGTTATTTCGTTATCGATGGTTTTAAAACATTTTTTGAAAGAAAAAAAAAATTCATAGCTTTTTTTCAATCAAAAATTTTCTTTTCTGGTCCTGGTCTGCTCTCTCATCAGCACATTGACTATGATAACTTTCTTCTTCCTTTTTTTGTCAAAAAAATTGGATGCATGTCATCTCTGCTATCTGCTGCTGCTGCTGCTGCTGTATGCGTGTGTTACATAATACACGCCTAATAATCATATTGAATATATATTGATTTAAATGACAATAAAACATTGCGAAAACAAAAAACAAAAAATTGTATTGAACAAAAAAAAAAGTAATGCAGAAGCAGTTTGTTCAACTGCTGTTGTTCAAAAAAAAAAAAAAATTTGAATAAAAAATTATTCATATCGACTAACGTGTGTAGAATACGTCACATGCATCACATACAGCAAATTTTGTTTGGTTTGGTTTTTTTTAACACTTAATTATCATGGAATAATTATGAAAAAATAAATAAATAAATTCATATGAATGACAGTCATGAAAGATGAATTTTTTCTCATTATTTCCACAAAAAAAAAAAAAAAAAAAAAAAAAATTAAAAATAACCCATAAAAACCCTTTTTTNTTTTTTTTGGGGGGGGACATAATTTTCGAATTAAAAAAAAATCATTCATTCATTTAACTACTTTTATCGATTGATTGTTTTCAATTTACCTGTTTCAATTAATTGTCCAACATAAACTTTAGCAATACCTGCTAATGCAATTGCAGTACGATCATTGATAGTTACATTTGTTATTGAACGTATTAATTTTTTTATAATAGATTTTGAAAATTTTGAACGTCTACACATTTCATAACGGCTAAATTGCTCTTGGCTAAAATTCTGTAATAGTATCCTAATGGAAGGGGGAAGGGGGAAAAAAGAGAAGAAAACGAAGATGATTAGAACAAAGTTAGAAACTTTTTTTCAAGAATATTTTCTCAATGTTTGCTTTTTCTTAAAGTTTTTCCATACACCATTTTTTCATTCCATGTCAAATTCTGTCGATCATCATCATCATTATTGTTTGACATTGATATTTCTTGATCTTCTTCTTTTTCTTCTTCGTTTTCCATACCATCGTCATCATGATGAAGAGAAGAAGATTCTCTAATGGATGACGATGATTCGTATGTCGAATCATTTAAAGTTGAATTTGTTTTGTTCATCATCATCATTTTATTTGTTTGAAATGAAGCTTCAGATCGCTGGCCACGTTCATCATCAAATTGTTTGGACATTTTTACTAATGATGAAAATTTTAGGATAAAAAAAAAGTTTTCTTTTTTCAAATTTTAACAAAGTTTTTTGTTTGTTTGTTTGATCAATTCTCGAACGCCAGCTGATTTTTCTTTTTCTTTTTTTCGAATTTTCCGAACAACCAAAATGTTGATTGTTTCAAATTGTTCGAATGTGAAAAAAAAAGAAAATATTCAACTTGCATACTTGAAATCTCCATAGACACAGAATCTAATTTTGTTTTTCTTTTGTTTTGTTTCCAATTTACCAGGTTAGGCACCACTAATTAAACAGTACATAATCAAAACAAAACGCATTTACTTTGTTTCGTTTCGTTTTGTTGTTGTTGTTTGAATACAAATAAATCGGTAAATAAATCGTCCTTGTTTGATTTAATCGGATTTTAATCGATTATTTTCTTTTCTTTTTTTTTTGGTCCATTTGTTGACATGCGAAAGAAAACTTGCAGAACAAAGAAACATACATCAGATAGATCACATATAATCAATCAATGATGATGATACGAATTTGATTGAATAAATTTAACACATCATTGCTCGCGTATCAAATCCTAATGCCAACAGTGCTCGCGTGGGGTATTTTTTTTCACCCCACCATTGATTTAACATTAAGCGATTTCGAACTTAGAAAATTTTTTTTTTGTATAATCTGGGGTAAAAATATACCCCACTCGAGCATTTATGTGTTAAATCAAAAATCAAACATTGTCATTGTTGTTGTTGTTGTTTGTTTGTTGTTATTAACCATTTAACAACAACAAACAAACAAACAAAAACAATCAATAATGATAATGATGACAATGAACTTAAACAATGAAATTTTTTTGAAAATGTTTTTTATTCTAATTAACTCTTTTCTTTCATTTCATTTTAGCACACTCCATCCCTCTCTCTCTCTCTCTCTCTCTTCTCCTCTTTTGCTAAATATATTCATTATAAAATTCAGAATAAAAATTTTTTTTTTCCATAATGAAATTCAAAATAATCTTGGGCACCTTTTTTTTCTTTTAACATGCTTCCTGAAGAAATTTAAATACCTGCAACAACAACAAAAAAGAAGTTAATTTTGAATGTTTTTCCATGGAAGAAAAAATAGATGCACAAAATGAATTTTTTTTCTTTTCTATGGACTTTCTTATGTTCAAAAGAATTTTTCCTATTTTTTTCCCATTTTTTTTTTTGCATGACTGCTTTATAACAATGTAAATAAAAGTAGACGAAAGCATTCATTCAGTTATTCAATATGGTTGAAGAACGCTGATCAGCATTTGAATTGATATTTTTCTTCTTTCCTTTTTCTTTTTTGGAGTTTCAATAATAACGATTCGAATGTTATTATTCGATGATTATCCGATATATTTGGTTAGGCCAAAAAAAAAAGAAGAAAAATTATCAATCCGGTAAATAAGAGAGACATACACACACAGAGAGAAAAACCAATGATGAGGTTTATTCATCCGATTCATCAATTCTTCATTTCTTTTTCGATTCGATGAAAATGAAAGTTTCTGAATTTGCCAAACGATAATTAGAAAAAAAATATGATGACGTTGTTGTTGTTGTTGATGATGATATGTTGATATTGGATAACCAAACGTAACGAAACTAAACTAAACTAAACAGAACCAAAACAAACAAACAGAAAAACAGAAAAAAAATCCATTCATTTATTCAACCTGAAAAAGATTCAACCTGAACAAGATTATTTTGTTTTGTTTTGTTTTGTTTTGTTTACTTTTATGCCTTTTATTCAATGGCGCCATTATCATATTATGTTGTTACTGTTTTCTTGTTCTTATTCAGATTTTAATTTTCAAAGGAAAACAAAACAAAAGAAAAACCAAAGAAAAATAAGAACATAGAAAGAAAAACAAAAAAAAATCATAATCATCAATAATTAGTAAGGCTATATATTGGTAATATTTATGTTTTATTGATAATTTCTCTCTCTCTCTCTCTCTGTGTTTCTTT